TAACATGTCTATCTAAATATATAAATGTTGGGAAACTTAATGAAACAGATACTTATGCGCATATGTAGAAACTCCAAGAATATACTTGTAACTCAATTATTAGAAATGGCATTTACATTGGTGACAAGATTTTTCTTAGAAGTGGAGGAATTCTTGATTAAGTCCCAAACAAAACAAATGACAATCTTCACTCAATTTTGAATTACTGATGTTGTTATTTTTAGGTTCCAGTTCATAGTGACCTTATGCACAACTGAATGAAACCCTGCCAGGTCCTGTGTAATGTTCACCATCATAAAGCTTGAGCACATTGCTGCTACCATTGTTTCAATTCATCTCCTTGGAGGTCTTTCTCTTTCTCTCTGACCCTTTACTTTACTTAGCATGATGCTCTTCAGGAACTGGTCCCTCCTGATGATATGTCTGAAGTATGAGAGACAAAGTTTCATTATCCTTACTTCTAAGGAATATTCTGACTGTATTTCCTCCAACACAGATTTGTTCTTCTGGCAGTCCATGGTACTTTTAATGTTTTTCTCCAACACCATAACTCAAACACATTAGTTTTTCTGCACTATTCTTTAGTCACTGCCCAACTCTTTATGTATATGAAGCTATTGAAAATACCCAGGTTGAGTAGGCACACTTTAGTCTTCAAACTGACATCTTGTGCTCTTGAACACGTCAAAGAATTCTTGTTCAGCAGACTTGCCTAATGCAATATGTCATTTGATTTCTTGCCTGCTGGTTCTGTGAATGTTGATAATGGATCTAAGCAAAATGAAGTCTTTGACAACTTCAATCTTTTCACCATTTATCCTGATGTTATTTATTGATTTGGTCATGAGGATGTTTGTTTTATTAGCATTGAGGCATAACTCATACTGAAGGATATAGTCTTTGATATTCACCACTAAGTATTTTAAGTCCTCTTTGCTTTCAGCATGCAAGGTTGTTAATGAGTCTTCTTCCAAATCTTCTTCATACAATCCAGTTTCTCTGATTATTTACTCAATCTACAGATTGAGTATATATTGTAAAAGAATACAACTCTGGCATACATATTTCCTAATTTTAAACCATTCATTGTCCTCTTGTTCTGTTTGAATGACTGCCTCTTGGTCTATGTACAAGTTCTTCATGAGCAGTTAAATGTTCTAGAATATTCATTCTTTGCAATGTTGTCCATACTTCTCATGGTTCACATTGGCAAACATCTTCCTGGTATTCTCTGCTTTCAGCTAAGATACATCTGATATCAGCAATAATATCTTTCATTCTATGTCCTCATCTGAATCCAGACTGAACCTCTGGAGTTCCCTGTCAATGCACTGTTGCAGCTGTTTCTGAATTATCTTTAGCAAAGCTTTACTTGTATGTGACATTGATGCTCATGTCCATTTATTTCTTCATTCTGTTGGGTCACCTCTCTTTGGAATGGACACAAAGATAGATGTTGTCCAATAAATTGGCCAAGTAGGTGTCTTTCAAATTTCTTCACATGGATGAGTGAGTGCCTCCAGTGCCACATCAGATGGTTGAAAGATTTCAATTTGTATGCCATTAAGTCCTGGAACCTTGTTCTTTACAAATGACTTCATTGCATTAGGACTCCTTCTGTCAACACCATTGACTCTTGATTATATGCTATCTCTTGAAATAGTTGAACATTGTCATTTTCTTTTTTGGCATAGTGAATTTGTACATTCCTTTTATCTTGCTGCGTGATTCAATATTTTGCTCCTAGAATCCTTCAATATTGCACATCAAGGATTGACATTTTCTTGAGTTCTTTTACCTTGAGAAATACTAAGTGTGTTCTTCCTTTTTGATCTCCTAACTCCAGGTCTTTGCAAATTTCATTATAATACTCAGCTTTGTCTTCTCAAGCTGCCCCTTGAGATTTTATGTTTATTTCTTTTACTTCCTCATTTCTTCCATTTATTTTGGTGACTCTATGCTGGAGAGTAAGTTTCAGAATGGTCTTTTTTGTCTTTCTTCTTTTTAATGAACTTTTGCTTTCTTCCTGAAAAATGTACTTGAAATCATCCTACAACTCTTTAGGTCTTCAGTCATTAGAGTCTAATGTATCAAATCTATTCTTGAGATGATCTCTGAATTCTGGTAGGATATGTTTAAGGCCACATTTTGGCTCTTGTGGGTTTATTTTAATTTTCTTCAACTTCATCCTAAACTTTAATATATGAAATAGATTATCTGTTCCATGTTCTTCACCCGACCTATTTTGGCTGCTGATATGGAGTTTTTCCACCATCTCTTTCCACAGATAAAGTCAGTTTGATTTCTGTTTATGGTATCTGGTGAGTTTCATGTGTATAGTCATCTTTTATGTTGTTTAGAATATATTTTCAATGAAAAAGTCCTTTGTATCATTTGTATCACCAAGACCATATTTTCCAATGACTGATCCATCTTCTTTGTTTCCAACCATTGCAATTCAAATACTATCTTGATTGCATGTTTGATTAACTTCACACCGAAGTTGATAGAATTCTTCAATTTCTTCATCACTAGTTTTTATGGTTGATATGTAAACTTGAATAATAGTAGTATTAACTGCTCTTCGTTGTAGGCATAGGGGTATTATCCTGTCACAGACAGCATTATACTTCAAGATAGATATTGAAATGTTCTTTTTGAGGAGAATGTGATGGCATTCCTCTTCAATTAGTAGTTCCTGGCATAGTAAACTATTCATATTCAAAATGGCCAATACCAGTCCATTTCAGCTCACTAATGTCTGGAAATTGTTCTCCAGC